TGATTTGTTGCTTCCAAATTTTGGCACTGAGCCAAGAAACCTTAGGCTTGGGCTTGCCACCGATAGAATGAACCCTTTAGGTAATATGAGTACTTATCATTCTTTGTGGCCCGTTCTTCTCACGATTTGTAACTTATCTCCTTTGTTGTGCATGAAGCGTAAGTATATGTTGTTAAGTATGATGATTTTTAGACTACGACAACCTAGAAATGACATAGATGTTTATCTAAGTCCATTAATTGAAGATCTAAGACTTTTTTGGGAGGAAGGCGTTGAAGTTGATGATGCATATTCTGGTGAAAAGTTTAAGATGCGTGCAACTTTATTTTGCACACAATCAACGACTTTCATGCATATGGTAATTTGGCTGGATATAATGTCAAAGGACATAAAGTGTGTCCTATTTGTGAATTGGATACATGTTATCATCAACTTAAGTTTGGAAAAAATACTTTGTACCTTGGGCATCATAAATTCCTAAAACCTGATCATTCATATCGTAGATTGTGGAAGGCTTTTAATAGAGAGCAGGAGTTTGATATTGCTCCTAAACCTTTAATCGGTGATGAAGTTTATCAACGATAGAAACACATTAATGTTGTCCTTGGAAAGAGATAAAAATAAAAAGAGCAAGTTGTTGAGAAAAATATATGGAAAACGAGGTTTGTGTTCTTTGATCTTCCATATTGGTCAAGTCTCGACGTAAGACATTGTCTTAATGTGATACACGTGGAGAAAAATATGTGTGATAGTTTGATTGAAACACTTCTAAAATTTCCAGGCAAGACTAAAGATAGTAAGCAATCTCATCTCGATATGGAGACGATTGGTATACGAAAATAATTGGCTCCAATAGAAAAAGGGAAAAGAACTTATCTGCCTCCGGCTTGTTACACTTTATGTAAAAAGGAAAAGAAAAGTTTTTTCGAGTGTTTGCATGGTATCAAAGTTTCCCAAGGTTACTCATCAAACATCAAGAAGCTTGTATCAATGAAAGATCTCAAGTTAATTGGTTTGAAATCTCATGATTGTCAAGTTTTGATACAACAACTTCAACCAGTGGCTATCTGTGAAATCCTACCAAAAAATGTGAGAGTAACTATCACCAGATTGTATTTATTCTTCAATGCCATATGTAATAAAGTTATTTATTTAAAAAAATTAGATGAATTAGAAGATGAAGCTACCATAATCTTGTGTCAATTGGAGATGTATATTGCTCCATCATTTTTTGACATTATGGTTCACTTACTTGTTCATCTAGTTAGAGAAATCAGAATTTGTGGTCTAGTTTATTTAAGATGTATGTATCCAATAGAGTGATACATGGAGATCTTTAAAAAAATACGAAGAATCATCATCGACCGGAAGCTTCGATTGTTGAAAGGTACATCACAGAATAAGCTATTTAGTTTTGTACAAACTATTTGTTGGAAGCAAAGTCTATAACAATTCCAAAGTCTCGTCATGCTGACATTGAAGGTAAAAGTATTCAAATTTTAAATGTTAAGTTAATGGCTCAGGATGTAGTTATTCAGACACATTTATATATATTGAATAATCTTGAAGAAGTTCAACCTTATGTGGCTACTCGCAAAAGACTTTTGAAGAAAAAAATATCCACAAAGGAGTGACAAGTTATTGTTGATCGAACATAACAAGAAATTCCTAGATTGGTTTAACAAAAGGATACCAAAAGATCATAGTGAATCCGAGACAATTAAATGGTTTTCGTTCATGCCAAAATTTAATGTGATAACTTGGACTGCATATGACATTGGTCATTATACCTTTTATACAAAATTAAAAGATGATCGTAGTACAACACAAAATACTGGGGTTATAGTTGAGGCTGAATCCATGTATTTCTCTAGTTCGAAAGATAAGAATCCAATATTGGCATCTAGTACGTTCTATGGTGTCATTGAGGATATTTGAGAGATTGATTATGTTATTTTCAGAGTGCGTTTATATAAATGCAAATGGATACCCAATAATATTAATGGTGTACAAACTGATGACTTAGGATTCACCTGAGTTGACCTTGGCAAGGCAAATTATATGACCGAACCATTCATCATGGCTTCACAAGCAAAATAAATTTTCTATGTGACCGACCCTTCGAACACATCGGGGAAATGGTCAATCGTTCTCCGAGGAAAGACATTCCTAGTAGTGATGAAAGTTTTGATATTCCTTCTATTCCTTCTTACACAACAAAAGTGCCTACCACTTATGACAAAGTTGATAGAGATGATGTGCATGTTATTCATATCGATCAAAATGAAGACATATGGGAAAATTAACAAGTAACTAGTATTTTATTCTTTATTCATAATTTAATTAACATAAGTCATTATTTGTAAGTATATTTACTAACAAGTATGACTATTTGAAATTGTAGGTGTTTAAAGTCAATACACCAAGAGACAAGATACCAAGAGACAAAGAAACTAAAACACTATAAGATACAATTATGTGATGTTATATAATGTTTATAGGTTGTTTTGTGTCATTTTTTCTTTTGATGTAATATATATACAATGTTTGGTTCTTAATCCAATGTATGAATTTGATGTAATATAATACTATTCTTCATTATGATACAAAAGATATGGTTCAAAAAAATACAGGTTAAAAAATAGAAAATTTTCAAAATGCGAAAAAATTATTTTAATAAAACATAATTTAACGACGATTGTAATATATAACCGTGGTTGTATAGTGAATGTTGTCCAGAATAGTATACTACACCAAAAGATGCGCTGTTAAGAATCGAACATGGGACCTTTAATATATTACAACAATTAGTTATAGCAATCGTGATCATATATACCGCACTTTCAGGTTTTCTACAACGGTCATAAGACCGTGATTGTAAGTAGTGCATATACAATCACACCTTACATAATAATGGCAGATCACACATGATGTTATCTCTTTTCCAACCGTTATTGTATATGTTTTCCGTAGTAGTGATCCATGGTCATTAAAACTAAATTGTTTGAAAATTCAACCAAGGTCACCATCAAAATGCATATCTGATTCTATGGTTGTGGCTAACCACTTTGACCTAGGTAAAACCAAAATCATCAAACAATCTTCCAAAATTTGTCACAACTTCACATTCAAAGCTTGTGTCGAAAAATCTAAAGTAACACGTGGTGAAAAACATTTTAATTTTAGAGTTAAATATGTTTGTGGTCCTCCTAAATATCTCAAACTTTGTTTTTCGTAACTCAAAATATTTCCTTCAAAGAATGGTCATCCTAAAATTTTTCATCCACACTTTTGGTCCCTCCTACAACTTAGTGACAAAACTACTGACAGTTTTAGCGACAATTTATTACTTAGTGATTGAATTAGCGACCGTTTTAATATTAGAGATAAAAAATGTGGATGAAAATTTTTAGAATGACCATTCATTGAAGGAAATATTTTAAGGGACTAAAAATAAAACTTGAGATATTTAAGAGGATCACAAGCATATTTAACCCTTAATTTTAATATAAATATTAAAATTAAGGGGCCACACCCTTTTTGTAACGGAAAAATAAAAAGTTGTTACTATTAAGATTCGAAACGTATCACTCCTTAACATATCACCACAATAGTTAGAATGAGTCGTGGTGAAAATATTTTATTAATTAACAAAAAATAAAGGCGCCTAAATGAAAAAATATTACTACTGTGGACTATGTCGCCGATATAAAAATATATTACTAAATCTATATTTTATAGTAGTGTATTAATGTGTTGACCACTAATACTCCATCAAGGATTTGTTTTTCTGGTACAAAAGTTGTTTGGCTCTTTGACACTATCTTCCCAACAAACCTTTTAATTCTTTTTTTTAATAAGCAAAACATAAATTTCAATATAGGTACTAGGAGTACCTCAATCCATTTACAAACACCATCCAACAAAATTTACATCAAGAGAAAAGATATTAAACACCAAGCTAATGATTTTTGCACTAGTCATAGTAGCTGTACGAACTATTGAGCTTAATGTTTTTGATAATCCACCACCAAGATAAGCGCAAAATCCCCTGTAAAACACATCGAATCTCCAATTTCATCACTAAAAATGATTTGATTCCTAGACCATAAAATACACCAACATATAATGAACCACAATCTTTCTGCGCACGGTGACGGAACCTTCCCCTTTACTTTCTCAATCCAAGCCCAAAGATGACAATCATAAGAAGATTCCATAAAAATAGTCACCTCAAACCACCGACATACTTTATTCTAAATTACCTTAGTTTTGATACGATTAAAGAAGAGATGGATAGAGTCTTCCGAATCATCAAAATAGAACATACACACATGTTCGTGCACATTAAGATTCATACCTCTTTGCACAAGATTCAACCGTGTAGGTAACATGTCAAGGAACAAATGACACACAAAAACTTGAACCTTCATCGGGATCACCGATTTCCAAATCCGTAACAACAAATCCTTATTGAGGGCATTCACACGCTCACTAACAGACATATATAACATCCGATCATAGCATGATTTGACATTATATACCTTCAACGCGCTGAACAACCACCTAATGCAATATGCATTATCTTTGCAAGGTTGCATGCCTACCAGGAAATCCTGCAAACGTTGAAGGTCTTGCCGCAAAGATTCATCTTCATTGTCAATATTAATTCCCAATTTCCAGACCTAATTGCCATAAATCCACTCCCCAAAATCCGACACAGCTGCATATTTATTATTTGCAACATTCTACAAACCAGGAAACTCGCAATAGAGTGGGGAATTTCCCAACCACTTAGCCAACCAAAATAACACAGTTTCACCACCACCTAACCTATAAGAAACTAAACTTGCAATATCAATATTTTCGGTCAGCCTGCATACGTAAATTAAATCCTGCCACCACAGAGACAATGCATATATTGTACATGAGTAAGTTTTATCGAAGATGGAATTTGCATGCTTCCCATATCTTCCTTCAAGAATCCCCACCCAAAGCGCCTATCCATCGGTTAGGAATCTCCACCACCATTTTGCTAACAAAGCCTTGTTAAACATTCCCAAGTCTTTGATCCCCAAACTACCCTCCTCCTTAGATTTACAGATTGATTTCCAACTCACCCACGCGATGCATCTTTTTTCTTTCGACCCCACCCATAAGAACTTCCTCTGCAAAGAAACTAACACCTACAACACTTTCTCTGGCAATTTGTAAAATGAGAGGAAGTGTACATGAAGATTAGTTATACCGAGTTTATAAGAGTTACGCGACCCCCGATCGAAAGCCAACTTCCCTTCCATGAGGACAACCTTGTCTTCATGCATTTAACCACTGGATTCCAAAAGGAAATACACCTATGATTCCCTCCCACAGTTAAACCAAGGAATTTAAGCGGAAGCTCGTCTATTCTACACCCAATGAAATGTTCTGCTGCCTTCATAAAGTAATCATCATTCATGATACCAAATAGATAGCTCTTTCTTAGATTAATCTTCAAACTCGAAATCAATTCAAAGCCCACTAAAATCGATTTCATCGACCACAAGTTAGACCAAGATCCATCCCCAATAAAGATCGTGTCGTCCACATATTGCAATAGGCTGTGAGCCGCTCCATTATCAAACTTGAATTCTTTAAAAGAACTTGCACAAACAGCCCTCCTAACCAAAATAGTCAATCCTTCCACAACAATTGTAAAAAGAAAAAGCGGAAAAGGATCACCTTGTCTAAGGCCTCTAGATACCTTGAAATCTTTCGTCAGACTATCATTTACTATCACCGACATAAAGTTGTTCATAACTCCACCTTCCATCTAACGCACCCATCTTGTACCGAACCCCGTAGCCACCATGATATTCCTAAGAAAACTCCACTCCACACAATCGTAGGCTTTAGCGAAATCCACCTTCAAAATAATACACCTCTTTTTAACGAAATCGATAATCTCGTTTAAGACCAACACTCCATCCAAAAGTTGCCTCCCTTAAATAAAGGCCGTTTGCGAACTTGATATCAGTTTACCTAATACAAGTTTAAGGCTTGCAACCAATAGATTAGAGATCACAAAATCTTGAAGCTATGATTTTAGAAATGATTTTATACAAACACCCAACCAAGCATATATTCGATCAATTCTTATGGATTATCTTTTTCTTTTTCTTTTCTTTTTTTTTAATTCTTGTGAGTTTGTTGTTGATTTAAACCTTTTTCAATTATAACAACATTAAAATTTTGTCATTTTCACTTTATTCTACCAAATTGAATAAATAAATATTTATTTTAGTAAATAATTAAAAAAAAGACAATGTACACATTTAAAAATACTAAGAAAATGTTATATAATCAACACTAACTACATTTCATTTCATTTCCTTTCCATTTTACAACCAACATTGTCATGTAGCCATCACAATATATGAAAAGAAAAAGGCATAGGTTGTAATTAATTAACTTAACCCAAAAGCGAATAACTTAATAACCAAATATATAAAACTTGCAAATGCATACTATAAAAAAAAGTCGAATTATTAAGAAAAAAAATCACAGACAAAAAAATGAAATATAAATTTCATTTTTTCGTCTCTAATTTTTTTTTATTGTTAATTCAACTTTTTTTAATAGCGAAATAATCAGCAACGCGCCCCCTTCTTACAATTAAGCACACCAGAAGTTGAAGTAATCGAGCCAATAAGAGAAGCCGGTCTTGCACTAAGACTTGAAGCCCTAGCATAGATAGAAGAAGAAGCAGCAGCACCAGTTTGTGTGAAGAATGCTCCATTTAAGAACAAATCACCTTCTGATCTCCAATTCCAAGTATTGTATTCACTTTCTGAAGCATCTTCATGTTTTGTTACTTCTTTGCTAAATCTGTTGTTTGGTGCAAGAAATCTGTTTCCTTGGCTGTTGATTGTAGGGTTTGCACTTCCTCCAATTGCATACATTTCCCAATGTGTGTAATCATTGTTTACTACATGGAAATAACCATGTCTACACCTGAAAATATTGGTTATTGATAGTTATATATCTTTTCATAAAATGTACAAATGTGTTGCAAATATAAATAATCTCTTTTAGTTATTTTTTATATAAGTATTTACCTTTTTTCCCCTCTAAAAAAGTATTTACCAATTCGTAAAAATCAGAAATTTTTCTTACAATGTTTAGAAATTTGAGGAGTAATTTGTCTAATTACTCCAATTTTTTACTATAAACCATGCATGACCTTTATTTTTTGGACCACTAAGATAAATAAAAAAGTACATAATTAATTTTTATAAAAAAAGTAAGATTTTATCATCATATAAATTAATACATACCTTGGCATTCTTTGGACAAGTCCTTCACCAAAATGATTAAAAGCAATAGTAACTTGCATATCCTTATCTTGTGTATAAGAATCACTATGTCCCAAAAGCATAACCTTATCATGATGAGTCATATAATTATTCGAAATAGTAATAGCTGTTGATCCATGAATAACATCAATAAGTCCATCACGACAATTAGACAAAGAACAATGATCAATCCAAACATGTTTTGAATTAAACACAGAAATTCCATCACCATCAGAAATTCCCCAAAAGCCACTATGTTCTGGTGAATCCCTTATGTTAGTGTTCCCTAATGGTTTACAATCATGAACATTGATACCATGTATGATAACATTGTTAACATAATGTATTGTCACACATCCACCATTTGCTATGTGAACATTTGCGCCGCGTCCATCGATTGTTTTGTATGAGTTTACTAAGAGTTCTTGTTTCAGCGTGATTACCATGTCTCTTTGGAAAATTATCCATAAGGGTTCGTCTTGGATTGTGGCGTGTCTTAGGGTTCCTGGTTTAGGGTTTGTTGGATCATCGTCACCTGAATCTGTGACGAGGTAGATTTTACCGTTTTTTCCACCGATTGCGTCTTTGCCGAATCCTATGGCACAATCTGCTAGTCTTTGTCTGTTGTCTTGCCAATTTGGGTCACATCTCCAACAATCATCAATTGGGTTGCCTGTTCCACATGATAAGTAGCCCAAGTTTCTCCTAGAGGCATTGATGCTTCTACAATAACAAAAATTAAAATGCTTAAATATTTAGAACTTAATGAAGTTATAGACTATAATGCTTGCATTTCATACAATAAATAATGTAGCTACACATAAGATAAGATAATTAAGAAAAAAATTAATTACCTTTGCACATCTTGAACAACTAGTTCAGGATCTTGAACTGCAGAGGAAGAAACAAAATTTGAAGTTAGAAAAGAAAGAGCAAAAAGAATGAGGAAGCATGAAAGTGAAGTCATGTTTCTGAAAGTGATAATTGTGGTGAAATTGGAAGGTGAAAGAAAGGTGTTTTATAGAAAGAAAAAGCCGAGAGTGATGGCGTGATTAATATTATCAATTATGTGGGATCCATTAACTTTTTATCGTAATTTATGGATTTGTTAACTAAGTGTTTTTCTTATGTGATGATAGTGTTGGTTAGTTTCACTTTCACATTTAGTTATAGTTTGAAACCGTTATGTTAACTTCAAAGGATTTTAAAGTCAAATTGGTTGTTGACCTCTTTGGATGGATGATAATTATTAGGGTGGGAATAAGACGGACCAAATAGTAGGATCTACGAGTCTGCATAAATTTATATTAGATTAAAAAAAAATTAAATAAAAAATATTTAAGTTGTTTTATAAGTTTATTTATCTAAAAAGATTAAGTCACAAATCATACAATTTTTAAAAAAATTTATTAGACCGGCTTATTTAAATAATCATGAACAATTTTATTATTATTATTTTATATTTTATAATTTAAATTTAAATTTTAAAATAAAACTTAGTTATGTTGAAGAATTATAAAAATGAGTTTAAAAACCTTTATAAACAATGTTGTAAGTTGATTTTATAAGATTTTTCAAATAAATAATTTCACAAAACTTATCTTAATTTGTAAATTCTAGTGAGTCAACGAAAACAAATATTTAGTTTCATTGATCTTTTAAGTTAGTCTATTTAATATTAGTTGAATTATTTATTTATAAATTTTTAAATGAAATAGACTTTTATCAAATGAAATAGATTTTTAAATAGATTAATAGGCCAATAAGGTATTTGAAAAAATTAGCCACATACCTAAAAATAAGATTATGATAAATTACAGATTAAGTCTAAACTTTGAAATTTTTAATAGAACAAACATAAGTTTGACAAAATCTAGTTCGAGCCAGTTATTCTCATCTCTAATAGTAATAGATCTCTTTCAAAGATTATGAGTTTGATCTCAGCTAAACACATATATTAGTGTTATATTTTCTTAAGAAATAATTTTATCATCCATTGTAATTCTATTTGGTTTGAGAGAGTCTTTGTAATAACACGCATAAGATATTTGATTTAAAAAAAAATGTATAACAAATAAAATGATTTTTAAATTAAAAAAGAAGTATAACTACATGATGAAGAACATGAAAAAAAATCTCATTCATTTACAGTGTGGAAATTTTTTTGGTGAGTGTTTAAATTAATAAAGTGAAAGTTATATCAATGTCTCTTTTTCTCCATATTTTCATTCCTGAAATTGTGCCATGTTCTATTACAGTGTAATCCACATGCAAAAAACCTGATAAGTAGCAAACAACTTTTGATTTAATGTAAAGAGACTTGAGAATATTACGGTTTGTATGCGTGCTAATCTGACTTTTAACTTTTAAGGTGCCACTTTGCCTAATTTTTGCTTTTTTTTTTAAACTAACTTTTTATTTTTTACATAAAAAATTCAAAACTCTAAAATATTATTAAAAATATATACCCCTAAATAAAACCTAAACTCAGATTATTTATTTATTTATTTTGTTACCCTCACTAATAATTAAGGTTGGAGGTATGACCTGAGGTCCCTACTATTCTATTAATGAGATCCGTGTTGCACCCTAAAATTTGACCAACTTGTTTTACCTGATTTGTGTTTTCATAGCTTTATCATTTGCATAGTAGATCATGTACATAGTTCATTCATTTGCATAGCATAGCATGGGCAAGCCATCCAACAAGGGATCAAGTGCCATTTTCATCTTGAGAAGCATACCCAAAAGGGGTTTTATTCAAGCCCAAGTCTATTCAAGTCACCAAGAAAGAAGGTGAAGCTTTGAGAAGTTAATAGATCAAGCAGTAGATCTATATCCTATCTGGGGAGTATTTGAAGATCATCAAAGAGGCTGTGAGCTATGAAATGAGGCATGGAATGTGTGTAGACATCATGGAAGACCTAGAGGGTCATTTTGAAAGTAAGATGAGTTATTGGTGTGGTTACAAGAGCTACAGTTGAAGACAGTCAACTAGGGTTTTATCTGGGTCAACCCTAGGTCAATCCTAGGTCAAATGCTTGATTGAAGGGCATCAAGGCCTATTTGAAGGATGTGGGATTCATCATTTGACATGTGGATATGGATGTGGTGTTGTGCCAAGGATAAATCAAAAGAAATCAAGAAGAAGAGAAGTTTCTAAATTAGGGTTTCTGTGTAAAATCCCCTGATTTAGGTCAGACTTCCAAGCAAAGTAATTCAAAATACAAGTCTCAAATGGATATTTGGCCAAAATGAAACTTGTAGAGCATCTCAAGACCTTTAATTTGAGTGGTGGAAGTCATCAAGGAGATTTATAGAACTCAAGTTATGGTTCTTGCAAGTTGCAGGTCATCTAAGGACACTGAAATTTATCTGTGAAAGTTACTTGACTTCTAAGCAATTTTTGTCCCACAAGGAGTTTTCAAATGGACTTTTGGTAAACATGAAAGTTGTTCCTCATGATCTTAGCTTTCTAAAAAGGTATGGTATGCCTCATTCTGATTTGTGGAACTCTACCTATGATCTTGACAAGCTAGGGGTATTTTGGGAAAGTAAGATTATAGGTCATTTCAAGCATATGCCTAAAACTCCTACTTGCAAACTTCAAATGGAAAAATGTTCAACATAAAACTTGCTCAAAATGATGTTTTGAGTCCAAGTAATAGGTCATGATAGTTTGGAAGTGCATGGAACTCAAAATGATAAAATTGACCAAATATGGAAGGTTTAAGTACATTTTCAAGTGACCAAAATTGGGGATTTTTGATCCAAGGCCAAAATGCATCATGTGATATACCAAATTGAAGGGAAAACACATTTTGAGATCATTGGCATCATTAGATTTTTCACTTGGGGTCAAGAAATTGGACTTGTCATTAGTTGCTTGTAAATGAAGTTACACTTGCCAAATGAACAAGGGATCAAGGCACAAGCTAGCAAGCCATTCCAACACATTCTATTTCTCATTCGGAGAGAAATTCAAGCCTCATACAAATGTTGTAACAAGGCAAGCTGCAACTGGTTTTTTGAACTTACCATTTCAATTTATCATAGCATGAGATATCCAATTTCTCCTTGGATCATTCCAGCAATCTCTAGAAGCTTCTAACCTCATCTATAAAGTCATTTGAGTTGATCAAGATCAGGGTTGGGTGTCATTTGGTGCAGAGAAGAAAGATTGAGTTTCAATTTCCTCCATTGCAATTCATATTCGAGTTCTCTATTTTCTTTACAATCAATCCAATTTCTTGATTTCATTTCATTCTATTGCCACTAATGAGTGTGTACAAATCATAATCAGAGAGAATTCAAGCTGAAATCGTGTTCTTGATCTTCACATTTCCACCTGCAACTGAAATTATGTTTCATTGATCCAAGCTGTTTAAAGAAGATCTAGTGAATACAGAAGCAAGAAAAGATAATCTTGAGTGAATCTGGAGAAGGACAAGCATTGAATTGAAGCTTTTTATCATCTGGTTTCTTCATTTACATAGGTTAGTAACTTTCAACCTATGGCTCGATTTAAGTAGAATTAGCATTGATCTTTAGGATAGGTGATTAGTATGTGGTTAGGTGGTTCTTTCTGGAAAATTTGAGGCAATTTGGTGATGATTGACATGTTGACACAAATTCTGTTTAGATCAAGAAGTAAGTGAACATGGAGTTATAATCTTAGTTCTAGGGTTAAACTTGACCAGTGTGGAACAAAGAAGAGATTAGACATCTTAATTTGGTAAATGATGACAATTGAGGGTGGACCAAGTCTTGGAGATGAGATGCGTGTTTGGAGTTTTAAGCCATATCAATGGATTTCAATGTCATAGATAGAATCAGGGAAGAAAATAGAGTAATTCTGGGCTTTGATTTGTAAATTTTGATCAAGAATTGATGAAGTTCGTGTGAGGATCAGATTGAGTTCATAAGTGTGTTCATCAATGGAGTTGGCTCCAACTTTTTTCAAAATGAGGAAGACAATGTATCAGCCCTTGGATCATGAGGGAAACGTTGACCAGAGATGGATCGTGTGGCTATCATCGCGTTTCATTTGTGAAGGCTTTGCTGAGAATGTGAAACTCTGTCGTTTCATTAAGTGTAGAAACGTGGGCTTAAGTTGGTTGTTGATGCTCCCACCCCCATTTCGTGGCCCATCATATATTGTGTTAGTTCTGATTGCTTTATGCACCACAAATTTGTTCATTTTTCTTGCTATTTTTCAGTTGGTTTTATGTTAAGTAATGGGCTTAAGTATATTGATGTTCACACCCCTAGTATAGGAAGCCCACTAGATTGCACTTGTTTTACTTGCTTCCTGCACCAACGTTTTTATGTTTTCTTTATATTTTTGTTTTGATTTCTGATCAAGCAATGGGCCTATCACGCATCACTATGCGCACCCCCTATTTTGGCCCAGTTGAGTTTCATGTTGTTTTCAATTGCTATTTGACACCAAACTTTTTCCTTTTTATTTCATTTTGTTCATTTTATTTTACAACTTTGAAAAATCATATAAAATTGAAAAAGAGTTATTTTGACATGGGAATTTTTGCTATAGGTTAATATTTGTTTCAAGAAAATTTTGAATAAATAAAAATATTATTTTAGGTATTTTCTGTATTTTTTGTGAATATTTTACATTTAGTTGTTTTTTATTGAATTTAGTTTGTACATAATTTTGTGTATTTTTGTTTACACAGTTCCCCTTATTTTTTTAGGCCATTCTTTTTAGGGTAATTAGATATGAATATTAGGTACCTCTGGATTTTATTCCATAATTTTTAGGATTATTTTTAGATAGTTTTGATTAGTGGATTTTAAGATGGTTGGATTAGGGTTTATACACAACATAGGTGCACTTGAACATTTTATTTTTGGGCTTTTTAGATTGAATTAGAGTATGGGACCTATGGGGTATATAGGGTAGATATAGTATTTCCCTTAGAATTAATATTAGACTTGTAAATATTA